ATTTAAGTGACTCTATACAAACATAACCCTGTACGTCAGTTAAATCAGCAACATGTCAGTTGGCACTTCTGGTTACAGACTATTTCAGAGTCATTCATCATTCAACGCTATAAAAGCCATTTACCCTCAGCCCACCAACCAATCAAACCAACTAGAAAACAGAGCAGGAAAGAAGCACTAACAATTGTCCTTAGTTTCCTTTTAACTTCTGCTGCAACAATTCAATACATCCTGTGTGGTGGGATAGCGGAGAGATTTTGCTGAACTAAATAAAGCTTCCTTCACCAGGTCATTAAGAGTGGAAAGGAAATGGAAAGAGAGAGAAAGGAGCAAAAAATGAGAGAGCAGAAAGTTAACCCTTGTTCTACGAGTTTTTCTCTCACAGACATGGTTTATAAATTGCCTTTATCTATATCTTTCACACCCATGAACATGATTACTAATTACTTCGTACCAGCTGTAAAGGCAGTGCAAGGTCTCAATACACTGGACAAGCTCTGATGTAAGTTATCATGTCCAGGAGCTGCTCAGCTGTCCTTAAATTCAACATAAACCTTCCAAGGTTGGGCTGCTGAGGGTGGGGGTAGTCGCCAGTGCTATTAGAGCTTGATGGGAGATTACCACATCTTCACACGTGCCACCCTGCAAACCATCCCTTTGTGCTCTATATTCCACTGTCACTTTCGTCGGGTAAATAACTTGAATCTCAAATCCCTGAGAATGCCATGTGCAGGAAGTGCAGCATGCCACAGAAAACAAGGTTTTAGAAAATGGCAATTGAAGGTGAGAAAATAGTGACGGGAAGGTCTTTTCAGTCTTGAGTGGTCCCTCCTCTAATCTGATAACTAAGTCCTGCTACTTTCTTCCCTTCTTCCCATTTGTGCTGATATATGGCTTAATCCTCCAAACCTTTAGTCTCATGAGTGATCCCATTAAGATAAATGAGACCTCTCTCACGTGACTGAGAGTGGGCAGGTATCTGAATAAAATGATCAGAAAAATCAATCAGTTCTCCCTTGTCTCTCTAGTAAAAGTACCTCCATTATAAGTGTACTAGCATGCAAAAACTGAGAGTATTATTGTGTAATAATTTGTAAAATGGCCATATCCAGTTGCTTTTTTACTGTTTAACTATGGTATTTTTCTGTCTGTGCTCTGCCTGATTCAAATCCTCCCCTCATGTTTATTATTAGTTAACTATTTCTTAATGAACCCCTTCATTTATGAATAAAACTCAACAGCAATTACAGCCCCAGTGGAGACCAATACAGTACCCATCTGCTCCATCACTTGCTCTCAGCATTGGCATTCTGCATCAGTCCCAGCCCCTCTCATCGAAACAAGATAGGATCAATTTTCCAGTGGCAGCTTGGAAATAATAGTACAAAATGTATATTAATACAGAAATATATTGTGAAACTGTCCTTAAACAAACAAATGAGCCACTTTAAAATATTACCGCTATAAATGACCATGACAGTAGCACAGCACATATAATAAAAAATAACTACTGAAGAGAAGCTGCTGAATTACTATAGTAATAAACCAGATGTGATTATTATCATTTAACACAGTCATTGAATACCATGAATCCCTGAAGCCATTAAAATATTTATGATTAAACATTTGCTATTCCTTATAACAGAACATATAGTCCAGTACTAAAAAAAATGTTAAGGTATTATTTTGGCTAATACATGCTAGTGCCATGATAAAGGTCAGCCACCACTGTCAGCTTCCTGAAAAGAGCACCTAACAGCTGTCCTCCTTCTACTGTGTTTTTTTTAATAACCACTGTAAGGTTAGCTACCTCTCTAGCACATTATTAAGTTAAATAGAGACATATACATGTACACTCACACTTTCCTACACGCATATATATGAAGGAACAAACACAAATATCTGATTTTCTTTGTGGAGAAATGGATGCTTTCTGTCTTCAAGGAATTCTAAGAAAATATTTAACGCATTTAGGAGAAATATACTTGAGACAAAGCAATAAGCATATGCAAACATGAAGTCTAATTACCTCCAGGAATTTCAGTGTGCAGACACCATATTACGCACTGAACACATTTTATCCCGTGGTCACTGAATTCTTTTTTTTCACTGTTGGAAATTCTTCCCTGCCTGTCTCTCCATAGTCTGCAGAAGACTGGTTACCTACTGTTAAAGCAGCCTCAGCTGCTGTGACCTGCAGATTGGAGGTGTCTGTTACTGGTGTGAAGCGTGTGGAAAAGGGTGGTGGTACACTGTGCAGGTGCCTGGCCCTCTCAGGCTGTGCAACATGGAGCATAAGGGCAGGACTAATTCTTTAGTGGACAGAGGAAGGACACTGCAGCTCTCCTAGCTCTTGGTGGAAAATATTCCCTGGCCAAATGTGCATAGCTGCTCTCTGCATGTGCATTTTGCTGCCAGGTGACTAGGATTCTTCTGCAGCCCTGGCTCTCTCTGTTCTTTAGACACAGGGTTCCATAGGCTTTATCGACTGTGCTGTCACTGTGCAGTTGCTCCTTACTATACACGAACAGCCATCAAGTCACATATATATTTTAATGCTTTATTATGCGTCTCCCATAATAAACAAGATGTGCCCTCTCATAAATGCCTCCTAGACACTAGCAGGTAAGAGACATCCTTCTCTCATACTCCTATAGTCTTTTTTCCTACTATTGTTGAAAACCAGTTACTCTATCTGGACACCCATGAACAGAAGGAAGTAAAACTAAACCTCTAATTGACAGGAGCAGTGCTATGGGAAGTTCTGATTTGCCTTACAGGATTTTACTGTCCTGGCATGGAAGGTAGTTTGCAAGCCCTATGGTGGCCAGAGCAGCCAATGGGAGCTACCAAGTGTGCATGGGGAAGGATGGGGAGCTTAAACCTGTGCTGATTCCAGAGAAAAGTGAACTACGTCCTGAGGTACCTGCAATGAACAAAGGTGAGTCTTCTTTGATGAGTGAGTCTGCTTTGGGAAATCTCTGCCCATCTTTCCCTGCTGCCTCAAGGAGAAGTCAAGGTGAGTGTAATTGAGGTGCCCAACCATTAGAAGGTTGATATTAAGATGAAGCTCATCTTCAAGTAACGCATAACAAACAAGTCTAAAGCCCTGCTTGCTTGTCACCTAACTGTGAAAGCGCATATCCTCCATCCTTTCCCTGCAGGTTGTGTTTTCCATCCTGAGCAGCTCAGCACTTGTATCAGGACTGTCTGAGCAACAGAAACTGAGCTCTGCTTTGACTAAAACCCTTGGTTTGATCTAAGTCCACTGGGAATTTGCAGAGGAAATGAACACACTGACAATTCTGGCATCCACTGGAAATTTCGGAAGAAAGAGGGGTAAGTGCTGCTGCTTTTTTTGTAAATGAGAACATAGGAAGAGTACATCATGCCCTGCTTTTATATAAAAGTCGGGTAGCAAAACACTTACACAGACAGTGGGAAATACATATTTAGCTCTTTCATGTTCCTGAGAAGATTCAAACTCTCACCTTCTACAGCCATGAAGTAACCGGTTAAGCACAGGCTGGTCCTAGTGGTGTGTTAGTCACATCCAAAGGGGGACTAATGTGTAAGTTTATCTAATTTCTCAATCTGACTAGGTCAGGGCAGAGTAGAGAGTGTGACTCTGTGTGACAGTGAAATAGAGAGGCAATATCGATGCATTTAGGCAAGACAGAAACTCTGAGGTTTCCAGCATTGCACTCCTGGAGTCAAGCATCTCGTTTTCACTGAAGATCCGCTTCAGAAGCTTCCGTGCTCTCTCCCTGGGAACTCATATGGGGGGGACTGCAGGGATCTGGCTGCCTGCAGTACATACACCCAAGAGTTGGATGCTGGATGACACTTTACCCTTTGAAGTTGACTGACAGGAATTTTTGGGTGTACAGTGCTCTTAATCCAGTCACTAAGTGGGGGATAGTGGAAGCAGGCTGTGACTGTCAGTCATGAGTGCAATTTTTAAGTTTCTCCCATGGATCTGACAGGCTCTTCCCCTTGCTCATGGCCAGTAGCCCTTCTTGAGAACTACCTCGCTCCAATTTCAAAAGGTGGTTTGCCATGTCTGTTGGACACAGACACTACACAGCCTGCATGTTTTTTTTTTGTTTTTCCACGGCACAGCAAGATTCAATGAAGTGATACTGGGGGATTCAACCAGTCCTGGTGCCAGGAAACCTCAGTTATTAAACAAAAATTTATTTTATTCCCCTAGACTATCAGAAAGGACTCCAAAGGCAAAATGTGTTCTATGAAGATTATTATCTGAAAATCCTCTATCTAGACTTGGGTGTTTTCTATTTGTTTTGTCTGTTGATATGCTACTTCATCTCCCAAGTAAATCCCATATACCTTCCTCTTCTGTCTTCCCTGTCAGTACCCCAGCTGCTACTTGGTGTGAGTGGGAGCAGGTACACTGCAACAAATTAGACACCACTGCATCCCAAAATAATTGCTTTTAACCAAGGGCTATTCTGATTACTCATCTTCCATTCTCAGCCATCTGAAATAAAGATTGCTTTAGTTTACCTGTAAGGTATTTATTACAGTTTCAGCCTTTGTGTTCAGTACTAACCAAGGGTGGAGTTGGAATTTTTTGGATGGTATTGTTACACCTACAGATGTTTTCTCAGAGCTTAAAAATGTCACAGTGTTGGGCCTCACTGGTGCTTACGAGTTTCCCACTGTCTGGATTTACCAAAATTGAGTTTATGAGAGATTTTAGCCGCATTCAAGATGGAAAATAAGTGTATTGGAGCAGTTGATCCAGCACCCACCTGCTCAGAGCCAGAGATATGAATCCAAACTCTTCAGTCTCCTTCTCCTGAAATTCGAGAAAGACTGCAGTTACTTCATGCTCACTTTGATGAAATAAGAAACTGAAGAATCTGTTGGCATGAGTGGATGTTTCACAAATTAAGAGCAGCTTTTCATATGATGCAGGATTTCTGTAAGCTTTCCATTATTCTGATTTATTAGTCCTCAAGACTGTGTGGAAAGTGAACAGAAAGCATACTTGAAAAAGAAATTAAATTACAAGAGCTTTCACTATTCCCACTATTGGACTGCTGCATTTGCGACTCATAAGGCATGATTCTGCTGTGCTGTTGTAATAGACTCCAGGTCTTGGATGGATGCATTTCGGAAAAGATTAACCCTGTCTTTTGATTTTGATAAAATCCTGGATTTTTTTTTTTCTTTTTTCTGGCTTCTACCTGTCCTCAAAGGCATAGATTCAGGCAAAACTATATCCAAGAAAGAAAAACATGGGAGAAATGAAGAGGAGTGTCTGACTGATTTGGCAAGAAGGCATTTAGCTGGGACATGTCCTTGCTGAGTTCATCCAGATGAGAACTGACATGGATCGGTACTAAACACTGAAAGGTGAGCATCAGTGTAAACACTGTTCCCTGTACTCTGTGGAATGTCTGCCTACAGCTCATTTTGTGTCAGACACTGTAGCTGCTTCAGCTACATTTTGTCAGTTTAATAGAGATTCCTATAATGTTAGAGCTCAGGAAAAAACCTAAATGGCTTTGACCATGCATTTGGAACCAAAAACCTAATTTCTTCCTGGTATGGCTGTTACAGGAGGAAGGTGACTCAGGACACAGGCTTGTATGATACAGCAAGGAGAACCAATCAGGGAAATGTTATTAGTATTCTATGCTCTCTGAAAACAAAATTCCTTTTTAAATCCAAGTCACTGTGACATTAGTGCCTTGCCTTCCCTTACCTTCCCTTCCTTTCCCTTCCCTGATATTTGATGGCAGGGCATTGAATTTTTTACCTTTCTAAACTGTTATGTTTTTGTGGTATAGTATGTTTTATAATATGGTCATGAAAATAAGATTAAATATTTTATGGAGAATTTTTTTCTCTTACAAATAAAATGAAAACCAAGCTAAAATTTAGAGATGATCTGAAATGGGACTGCTGTTCTCTATGTAGAAGAGTGACAATGGGGATCACAGGCAATAAATTTTAAAACAAAAATGCTATGGGTATATTGGGGTAGATTTATCATCATAAATCACTGGCATAAATAGAGGTATGTAGATTATCATCACTTGAATATCTCATGTAACTGACATTTTTCTCCATTTCTTTATATTTTTACTAGAGTTTTAACAGCACAAAAAATCAGAGAAGCAATAATACAAAAGAATCGGTATAGCCAGTCACTTACTACCCAGTGCTTTATTTTCTCCATAATTTTTTCAGAGTGTTTTGGGGAGTAATTTCAAACAGTCAAGTCAGAGTCCACGGAGAATTGATTTTTGTGACCTCACATATTGTAACAGAAAATTATAACAGGAAATAAACCATTAAGTGATAAACAAGGAAACATGGATACAATTACTTTCAGAACATAATTTTATCCACTCTAGTTTTGAAAATGAAGAGATAGTACTGACTGGAACACCTCAATTCTGAATGCAAACTGTACAATCTATTATATTAAACAAAGTCAAAAGCAATGTGAAAGATCTTGAATCTATTCAAGGCATGCACCTCATTACAGACTTAGCAAATTAAAACACAAATAGGATTAGAAAAGAATAATGTAACAATCTCCCACTATGGTCCCTGGAGCATTAAGTCATAAATTGGGTTTGCATTAAATTGTGCCTGCAGTATTGAATTCAGGGAAAGAGCTATGGGCTGAAGATAAAGCTTACTAGGCTAGCCAACTTTGGTACGGCTGTGTGTTTTCATAAGCACACAAAGAATGTGATGGAATCTAAAAAGGCATATTCAAAAACATGTATTTCATATCTTAATTAGGAAATACAGATATGGTGTGGCAACCCCTGGCTATATTATACCAAAGCCAAAAGCTGCAGGCATTTGAAATTGTTGCTTCACCTGAAGATGCTGTTTAAATAGGAAAGTTAAGCACTTTTTGTCAGAACACCTACTGGGTTAAGCTACTCAAGTTTTCAGGTTTAAAAAGCCTCTAGCATGTTACAAGCTTCTATTAAGTGGAGAAAACAAGCTTACCCAAAAGAACTGAGAGGAGCTGAGTTTTCATATTACAAATGTATTCTGTTGTTATGGGAACTGAAATGGTGAGCGATGTGAAAGGATCCTGAGCTAACAAAGACCAGCTTGATGATGTTATGGCAGTAGCTATACAAACTGCAAACACATTTGCAAGAAATAAATAGGGATTCTTTTCTTAAGGAGATAGAGATTCGTGAAAAGTATTGTCTCTAAAGAGAGACAAGTTCAACCTTTGTGTGACCCTAGACAAACTACTGAGTAATACTAGAAAATAATTTTGCTAATTTTCCCTTAATAAAGGCTTTATCCTTCAAAGGCGTATTATTACTGTCCTCATTCTCCTAATTGTCATTTCAGGGATCACTAATAGCAGCTGCTCTGGTTAAGGTGCTTGTCATTTCATGTTGAAAAGGAGCCTTGGTATGAAATTATACATGCTTTTTGCATCTTCTTTTTAGGGATTCTCATGGCTCCATTTGTCTCTAGCAGACTTTCACAATTTGGCAGACAGAAAGCCCTTCAAACTAGGGACCTGTCTTTTCTTTGTCAATGCAACTTCTCTCAACTTTCATTGCTATTGTCTTTTAGTGTCTGCCAATTCCCTCCCCCAGTTTGCTCTGCACAGCACTCTACAAGCAGCTTGCTAAAATAATAACACAACCCATTAGTATTTTAAGTCTAGTCTCACAGCGAATGACAAAGGAGCACACGCTATCCTGGGAACACTTGGATTTTGATCAAGTGGCTGCGAGAGAAGTGAACTTTGTGCAGCAACTGGGAGATGCTGACACACCAGGAACTGGTGCAAACTTGTGGGACTGCAAAACCTGTATCTAATCACTGGGATCCAGGGACATCCATACATCCACATCTGAATCTGTATCAGGGCACCAGCTGAATGGTATGTTGGGCTAAGAGCAGGCCATTCTTGGTCTCTTCCCTGCAAGGGTTTCCAGCGTTCGGGGGTGCTGCAGACTACCCTGGGGGAGTGCCAGCTCCACAGCTTGGACATGCCAGCAGCACCTCCCATAAGATAAGAATTGCAGGGAGGCAGGGAGCAAAAAGGACTAGCCTGGCTTCCTAGGCACAGGATGCAAGGACACTCAAGGTCAGACCATGTGTGTAAGGTCTGGTCCTGTCCAACACAGGGGTGCTCTGGCTCTCAGCAGCAATGACACTCAGTTCTGGGGAAGAGGGTGCTGAAAGATAGAGTATCTCAGGTCTATAGCAGTATATCTAAACTGAGTCTGCTGGGATTTCTTCCCAGATCCCAGATCCCAGGGCACACACAAAGCTTGCCAGTGGGCATGTACCTGAAACTTGTGTGCATAGTGCTGCCCAATGCGTGCTCCAGCTAGGCTGCAGTCAGCATCAGGATTTTGGGGATCACATCGCACAATTTACTGGCCCCTCATTTTAGATCCAGTGAAGTTTCACCATGAGTTGGGGCCAGGAGGGGTCTTCTCTTCCCCTTCAGTTTGCCAGTGGAGAATTTGTTGGCTAAACAAAGCTTTCTCCTCCTCCTGGCTGACAGCTCCCTTCTGGAGTAACCTTTTAACATTTTTCGCGATTTTCTTAAAGAGCAAACATTAGACACATTAAGAACAGCAACAACAAAATCATTAAGCACTATAACATTCTCTGAGGAGCCAGACGTATCCTTTAATCAGGTTATGGAAAATTCATTCCTCTTCTAGACATTTATCTTCTTTGTTTATGCACATACCAAGTGACCCACTTCTGAGCATCAAAAATAACAGCAAAGAAACAACCAAAGATTCTTCATTATTAATGGATTTATGTACTATTTATTTTGCTTTATTGGGAACCAAATAATCAAGTGCATTCATTCCAATTAAACACAGCACACACTAATTGTCTATCATTTCTATCAGTGAAGCCAGTTCTCTTACTTCAAAGTCACTACTTTACCTCAGTGGGAAAAGAATTGGTATTATACTTCCTTCTATAATGATTGATTGTTTGCATTAAGATGGAGAAGGATAGACTGAAATTAGGGGTATACTGTGCCTTCCTCCCTGTGTTAGCTTACACCTCACCCATACAGACTCAGAGGCTATAAACCCAACATTATCATTTCAGGAACTAATACTGTACACTACATCAGGTCAAATTCATCCCCAAATTTGCATGATTTATAACAAGTATAATGTATCTATTATCATGTAATGAGTGGTGCACAGATCTCTAATGAAAATTCTATGTCTAAAAATAATAAACATGATGCATAGATTTATAATAAAAATGACTTATTAAAAGAAATAAGGCCTTGATCTCAATGTTGACCTAAAATCACTGAATTGGACAGGTAGACTTGATTGAAATTAGTGACCAAAGAACTTCCTGTTACACAAGTCATGTGCTGATTGATTCATATTTTGGCATTTTAATCAAAACTCCCAAAAAATCACGATGAGATGAAACAGTCTCATCATTTTACTGAGGTTTTTTATCCAATAATTTTTGTCGTTCTTGACAAAACTATTAAAAATAAAGCTTACTTGATGAGAGAAGCACAAGAAGATAAAAATGGCAGTACAAATCAAAAAAAGTACTGTTGAAAATTAGTTATACCAGGTAAAGCTGTTAATTAGCAAAGGCAAGGATACTTCTCATTTTAAAGAGACTATATTTTGTTTTAACTGGCAATTAGCTGCTCAAAATTGACATGGATTAGGAAGCCATATGGAAATAACAGAGCAGTGAATGTAAGTATTTAAATGTATGTAAAAACCCCCAACAATTTAACCTGCTTCTTCAGCCCAAAAAAATAGATTTCTTTTAGATTCCGTGTTAATTTTTATTTTCTCTGTTAAAACATAGTTTATAAAGAGATTTAACTCCAAAGTTGCTTTATCAGCACAAAGGAGGCTAGATGTGAAATATTGTTCAAAAGCTGCTAAGGTGGTACCTTACAATACTTAGAGAAGCTGGAAGAAAAGGTTAGAGGAGACTGTCAGGGGGAGAAAGGTAACAGAACCAGGCTCTCAAAAATAGAGAAACATAAATAATAAACACTAGGAAACATAAAAAATATCATCTTTATCACTGTGCATGATGTAACTGCTGAATACCTGCAAGTAGGTTTTAATGCCATGTCAGTGACATTATCACTGCTTTTGATTCTCTTTTATGTTTTCTTACACATCCCCACAATCATGTCCATTTCTAAAAACTTTCCACAGAAGATGGCAAGGTATTTTCCCATGGGGACTGGATTGGCTGGAACCAAATCAGCCTCTTCCCTGAAGTAGAAATTCGTTATTTCAGGATCTAAAGATGTTTTGAGTGGGCACATTTTCTATTTTCATTCCCTGAGTTATTATGGGATATGAATGTCAATAATAGATAAGCAC